TACTCATGGTAGGTTCTGGCAAGTTCTTTTTAATATGCAAATAAACAAAATATGAGATAAAAAGATGTATATAAAAAGTCAACAGGAGTAAAAAGTACATGGGAAGATAGGAACAAAAAAAAATCCCTAAAATAACAAACCCAGCAAGACAAGAGGACTTAAACCTAATGAACTCATTAATTATATTAAATATAGATGAAAAAATACACTCATTAAAAGCAGCTCCTGTGTAGGCTCAGGCTTACTCATGGCTACCCATGATTAGCTATTCAGGAGACTGAGGTCTGGGGATCACAGTTTGAGTCTAGCCTAGGCGGGAAAGTCTGAGACTATTTCCAATTAACTGGCAGAAAAAGCTGGACTGGAGGTATGACTCATGCATGTGGTAGAGTATCGGCCCCGAGTAAAAAAATCTGAATGAGACCCTAAGTTCAAGCCCCAGGACCCACACAATTTTTTAAAAAATTTACAAAATGTTTCTTCAAAATATAAGGACACATAAAGTATGAAACAAAGAAGGACAAGGAATGTTTTCTGCAAATACAAGCCGAAGAAAGCTGGTACAACTGTTTTAACATCAAAGCAGACTTAAAGTCAAGCAGTTTTAGGAGAGTCATTTCATGACAGAAGGGCCAATCTATCAGGAAGACATAAGAATTCTAAGTATGTATGTATCTTATCAGCACAAGCAACAGATACTCCTGTTTATGATGAGGTCACATTTGATAAACCCATCATAAACTGAAAATATCCTAAGTGGGATATGCACTTCACTACTTAACCTACAGAACAGCCCTAGTTCTCTCCCCCAGGGGCTGTGGCATGCTGCTGTCCAGCATCATGAGAGAGTGCTATACTAAATATTGCTAGCTCAGAAAAGGAGCAAAATTCAAAATTTGAAGTATAGCCTCTACTAAATGCTTAGGATCTTTACATCATGTGTAAAGTTGAAAATTTACAAGTTGAACAATCATTTAAAACTGCCCAATACATCATAAATTACATGTTAATCACATTGCAATACCAGTTGATTAAGGAAAAAGACTTATACAAAGATGTAAAATAATTTTTTTTTTGGTTGGTTATGGGGTTTGAACTGTAGGCTGGGAGCTGTCCCTCAGCTCTTCAGCTCAAGGCAAATGCTCTACCACTTGACCCACAGCAGCACTTCCAGCTTTCTGAGTGGTTTATTGGAGATAAGAGTCTCAGGGAGTTTCCTGCCTGGGGCTAGCGCTCTACCACTTGAGCCACAGCACCACTTCCGGCTTTTTCTGCTTATGTGGTGCTGAGGAATCGAACCCAGGGCCTCATGCATGTGAGACAAGCACTCTACCACTAAGCCACCTTCCCAGCCCATCAATTTTTAAAAAAGTAATATAAAAAGAGATGTCAAAGCAGTATGTGACACAATCTAAGGAGGTTGAAGAGAAGAAGGGCAAGGGCTGCCTGGGAGTCAGTACTTGAAAATAACTATATTAGCCAGGTGCAAGTGGCTCATGTTTGCAATCCTAGCAATTCAGGAGCCTGAAATCTGAGATCAAGGTTTTTTAGCCATTCTAAGCAAGCAAAGTACGCGAGATTCTAATCTCCAGTTAACCACCGAAAAGCTAAAAGTGAAGCTGTAGCTCGAGTGGCCAAGACCAAGCTGTGAGGAAAAAGCTCAGGGACAGTGCCAAGGCTGAGTTTAAGCCCTAAGACTGGTGTGTGTGTGTGTGTGTGTGTGTGTGTGTGTGCGCGTGCACACGCGCGTACACGTGCATGTGTGTGCACAGATACACACATTCACCCATATGCACACGCGTAAACCACTCACCACTCCATATAGAAGAAGGTTGGAAGCTGAACAAATTTGAGGGGGTAAAAGCAGGATACACGGGAGGAAAGGGGTGAGTGAAGGCTCTGAGGGACAGATCAGAAACTTATCTCCTGGGCCTTTCATGTGTGAGCTCACTAATTGACCCTCATGAGGAGCCACACAGCAGGGAGGAGGACAATCCTGTTTTACAGGATGAAACTCAGAGAGGTTATGTCCTCTGCCCTAGGTTCAAGTGTTTATAGGATTATACTTGAAGGAAGGAACCGGGATATGCATGACCCCAAAGATTGTGTCTACACAGTAAAGGGTATTTTACTTGTGAATCTGCTGGAAAAGCATGAGCAAGAAATATGGTGGTAGGAAAAGCCCTGGTCAATGGCAGGAATAACCCTTTCTAATTCCCATGTTCAGGATTATGCTCTTCCAGGAGCATATACACAGCTGATTTCACTCAAAGGACTCTCAGGCTGTTTGTAAATGTAAGAGTGTTTATGTCACGGGAATATAAACCTCTTGTGTACTATGTACAGTGTTCTTTTTTTGGGGGGGAGGTCTGGTCATGGGCCTGAACTCTGAGCCTGGGCGCTGCCCCTCAGCTCTTCAGCTCAAAGCTAGTGCTAATCTACCACTTGAGCCACAGCACCACTTCCGGCTTTTTTTTTTTTTTTTTTTTTTTTTGATGCTGAGGAATCGAACCCAGGGCTCAAGCATGCAAGGCAAGCGCTTTACCACTGAGCCACCTTCCCAGCCCCTTATAGGACAAAGAAACACAGTGTGTAAGGAATGCTATAGCCAACTTTTCTCTCAGTTGGTTCTCTCCATGCCTCTCGCCAGTCTCTAGCCTATACTGGAGGACAGTTCTTGGCTATGTTTACCCATTACCTGGCTTTCTGACACAGCCCAGTACACTCACTCAGTTCATTTAAAGGACAGAGCTTTTAAACTATTCCTTTTTGCTAGCATAGACTGCTGGCTTTCTCTTCTATTATATTTCTTCACTATAGGAAAAAGTAGATTTTTTTTAATGTTACTTCAGATGTTTCCTTAGACTGGTGTTAACATAAAACAAATGTCTCTTGAAACTCTGAACCAATCTGCTAAGATAAACAGGCTTCACTGATGATGTTCCTATACTAAATCACAGGCTTGTACTCAGTAGCTTCTTGAAGACTCAATTCAAACATGCTAAAATGTCTATTTAACACACACACACACACAAAACACACACACACACACACACAGATTGCTTTGCCATGGAAACCACAAAGACTTGTCTGGTTCAGACTCTATAGCACATACCACAAATAACAGCCCATCTTCTATGGGCAGATCCTATGTATACACAGAGAATGCTCAGAAAATTAAAACACTGCAATACTTCAGACATACAACTTATTCTATATTTCCTTTTAACTGTATTTCAATATATGTAGTCTTAATCATTTGTTATTATATTTGCATATGTTTATTTTTTTTAGATTGGGGCATAATGATATAAAGGGAAAATACAGAAAGAAGGAAAGGGCACAACAGTGTCAGATCACAACAACTCTGGATTCCACTTATCAATTTAAACTATCTGGATTTCTAGAGAAAACCAGTGAATAATTTAAGGGCTCTAAACCTGCAAGTCATGTATGATAGAGACTATGGGAGATAAAATATCTGAGAGGAAGAGGTAAGAACAAGAAGTCTTGCTAGCAAGTACTTCAAAACCATCAGAAGTTCGATATGATTTATCACCTTGCTGAGCTACAAATCCATGAAGCCATGGACAGCTTCCAATTTGTTATATCTCCAGCATGGAGCAAAGGGTGTGGAACATGGTAGATGCTTACTAAATACTGGGCAAACAAATGAACAGAATGCTTAATAGTTTTCATTTGTAGCATTCTTTGGATCTGATCATTCTTTAGCTAGGATCACAGGTGTGAGCATACAGCTACTCAGGGTGATAAAATCATAACCACATGTAACTCTATGACTTATTTTTGGAAACTACCATTTCAATTTACTGCTCTTCTAGTCTAGGAGGTAGTAGTTCACAAAGACTGATACTCAGATACTTAAGTTTTACCTACAAAAACCACTCAGCACATTTCTTTGTTTACCTATGCTGTATGATGAGGTAAACCTTGCACACTAGGAAGTTTGTGAGCAACACTTGTGACTAATATCCCAGCACCAGCTGACTTACACCTCCATCAAATCATTATGTCCACAGCAATCTTAGCAATTTGAGTGTCTGTTTATTGGACCAAGCAATACACTGGGATGTGGCTGTGGAACTCACTGCAGACACGCAATGATGTACATAATTCAGGGATATTCATTTGATTCCATATAAGAAAGCAGATACTGAATTCGTGAGGTGACCACCAAGAGATACTCTTATTAGTTTATATCACTTGAAATTTAGCTTTTTAAAAAACATGACAATAGCTGCAACATTCCATCATCCCCTATATGCCCACAACTCTCTAGTTTTTAAAAAATAATTTAAAGAGAAAAGTAGATTTCTGATAAATTATCCTATCCATTAAAAAAAGTAATCATAGCCAATTTTTGGAGACAATGGAAATTGTAGGACAAAGAAACACTTTCAGCTATTATTTCAATTATTTCTTCTCCTTCCCTCCCTCCCTCTCTCCTTCCCTTCCTTCCATCCTTCTTTTCTTCCTCTTTCCTCTTCTACCTCCTCTTCCACTTCTACTTCGAACTCATAGGTCAGTACTCTAATCTATCACTTGAGCTATACTTCAGACCTTTCTGCTTTCATTATTTTTAAAATAATGTCTCTTTTGTTGAGCTGTCTTGGACTTTGATCCTACTTATGCTTCCAATTATAGCTGGGACGACAAGTATATAACATTGAGTCCAGTAGCTGTTGAGATGATATTTCTCAAACGTTTTTGCCTGGGATGGCCTTGAGCTGTAATCCTTCCAACCTTTATCTCCTGAGTAGCTGGGATTATAGGTGTGAGCCACAGTGCAAGGCCAGGTCAGTTTCTTTTTGACAAGGCTAGTAAAAGGGGATAGAAAACTTTTCCTATAAAGGGTCAAATAGTAAGTAATTTTGACTTTGTAGATCTTTGTTGCAAGTACTCTGCCATTACTGTGTGAAAGCAGTCATAGATACCAAACAAAACTCTCTTCTCCACAGGAAATAACAATGTTCACTTACTTTGCTCTTTTGGCCATTTCATTTCCATCCCATCTGGGGCTGTATGGATAATTTTTTTGGGCCTGGGAGTAAAGCTGTCCGCTGTTAGTAAAGTGATAGACGGACTGAAATGTGAGAGTCGGCTGATCTCGAGGAAAAAACAGGGGCAGGTCAACTGGAAAAACAGAAAAAAGGAAAAGAAACAGTGAAACACATTTTAAGACACTCTTTTGGCTAAACCAGAACATTGAGTAAAAGACTATTAGATCTACAAATACTAATTGAGGCTTAGATCAGAGGTATGGAGCAAGGGACTAAGTCTTCTTCCCTTTCTTCAAGGAGTTTGGATGTAGTAAGGCACATCCAAGGCAAGTGTGAGTATGAATGACCTGAGGTGTAGCAGAAGCATGGCGATAACCCACTCTAACTATTTCTGGTCTCTATACCCCATATACTCTTGAGCAATGTCTTCCTCATCTAAAATTCCATGAGGGAAGTAAAATGGATGATATTTGGCAAGATAGACTTGGAAAAGGGACAGAGAGGGCGGAGTATAATCTTTCTACTTTACCACATATGGTAGCTAGACCACCAGAAAAAAATCAAGTTATCACCCTGTTCTAATCAAGCAGTGGATTTGGATACTCAGCAGTTTCCATTTTTTCCATATGTGTTACCACATATATTTATATCTCCGGAATCAGAGGGGGCCCTTGGTGGTACACACCAGGAAAAGATCTAAGCACTAAATATGCCCACTGGGATATGGGTGGTGTGGCTGATTCCTGATCCTTGCTGTTCGTGGGTAGCATGTATTATGCGCTGTATCTTTTCATTTCAGGATTTTTTAAAAAAGTGTGTATGCCAGTCCTGGAGCTTGAATTCAGAGCCTGGGCGCTGTGCCTGAGCTTTTTTTGCTTACAAAGAGGTCTCTTCCACTTAGCCACAGACTCATTTCTGTTTTTATTGGAAGTTTACTGGAGATAAGAGTTTCACAAACTTTCCTGCCCAGGCTGGCTTCAAATAGTGATCCTTGGATCTCATCCTCCTGAGAGCCAGGATTTCAGGTTTCTGTAACCCAATTTGCAAAACTAAAAAGACTTGCTAGGGTTAGCTGAGGGAAAGCATCACAAAAAACAAATTGCTTCAACAGCACATTCTTTAAGGTAGATAGTATGTTTGTGTGAATGTTGTCCATACCTAGGCCCAAGAAAGACACATTATCAAATATAACAAAAAAGCCTATCAAAGTTCCAGCTTTATACAGTACTTTGTACATACTTTCTCTAATTTATTACTTAAATCTCTGTGAAGAAGATATTTTGATCATATGTATTTAACAGAGGCATAAACTTGACACTCCACTGGGACTTACGAACTTAAGTAGGTAGGCAGAGGCAAGCACCCAATGAAGAACGATTATTCAAATGCCTGGCTCCAACTACGTGACACTACCTCCTCCCGCTGTAAGGGATACTGGTATAACCTGCTGACAGCTCACTCACGGCGCATGCTGTAGTACAACTTAGGAAGCTGGAGGCTCCATTATGAGGATGTACAAGGTTCATCTTTGCTACCTAAGGCAGATAATCTTAAGAGAACATATACTAGGTAGTGTTATATCTATCATTAACCCAGTGTGGGGTGATAATGAACTTGGACTAGGTTCCTCTAAGCATCCAACATGATTCCTTGAAGGAAAAGTGAGAGTCACAACAGACTTTACAAAGGAAAACCAACCAAAAAAATTCCCAAGAAACAAAAAAGCTGTCCACTTGGCAAGCCTCTCAGCCCTGAGTACACTTGACTCTGATCATGTCTGACTCAGCTTGGTAGGGGGTTTCTTCAGATGAATCACACTAAATAAAAATGGCAAGACTGTGAATGCCCACTTTTTTATTCACATTGCCCAAATGCCACCACAAGACAGTCTCAATACATGTCTATGTATTTCAAAGCAGAAGTTCTGCAGCATATAGAGGACAATACAAAATATAAAAAGATCAATCTAGAATGATAATTCAATCTGGAAAAATCCTCTTATATTACTTAAGTTTGATATGTAACATCTTCAATTAATTTGAACAAATATTGTATTCCTAAGCCTTTTCTATCTTTTCTCTTAACTCATTTGAGTGACTAACTTTAGAAAAAGATGCCTATTTGCATACAAGTTACCTTGTCTTCAATTTTGTTACATTATGTACACATTTCTCAATATAAAACAAGATTTAAAATAATCCTAGAGAAGCATTTTACATGCTAGCTTCCCTACCATAAAAGTCAACAATTCCAAATAGCAGTTTTCAAGGGTAACAATTTACAAATTTAAAGCAATTGCAGGTATCATTATAAAAAACAATGAAGATAATACTATAGGCTATGTGATTCTCAAACAACATGCTTTGGAATACATTGTTCTTAAAAACATTTTCTTGGCTGGGTGTTAGTGGCTCACGCCTGTAATTATAGCTATGCAGGAAGCTGAGATCTGAGGATTGAGGTTCAAAGCCAGCCCAAGCAGGAAAGTCTTTGTGACTCTTATCTACAATTAATTACTGAAAAGCTGGAAATAGTGCTATGCCTCAAAGTGGCAGAGCAACTAGCCTTGAGCACAAAAGTTCAGGGATAGGCCCTGACTTCAAGCCTCAGGACTGGCACAAAAACAAAACCATTTTCTTGAAGGGAGCAGGTCTTGCTATGTTGCCCTGGTTGACTTCAATCCTGTGTGTTTAAGTAAGATGTTGTATGGTCTTAGTCTCCTAATTGGTAGGAACTATCAGTACCATACCTGGTTGGAATAGATTCTTTTTTCATTATTATTATTTACAAATAAACTGTTGGTATCAGTAGTTTGACAAGTTGGGAAATATTTTAACCTATTTCTGAACTATCTTATTTGACCCAAATTCTCAATTAGCATAAGAAACAATTTAAAAAGTGAATGCAACCTGTTAACCTAGGCAAGTAAGATGTCCCATAATACCCCAAAACACTGAGTTTACAACTTTTTTCTCTATGGAGATTTGTCTAACAAAGTACAGTTGAAGCCAAGGTTAAAACTTGAATATTTTCTCTGTGCATACAGTAGCTGGATTACTAGGGAACAGGAATGGTCTGCAAACTTTCGAGATAGAATCAGTAGTGTACATGTTAATCCATGTTTGAGAAAATAACATTTAAAAAATACAAATATCTTGCTCAAGTTAACTACGTTGTATCCTGTCTATAATAGTAGTTAGTAAAAGAGGGCTTCTTTAAAAATGTTCTATGCCTAAAAGTGAGCTAATAACTAAAATATTTACAAGAAATACTTCGCCTACTTCCCTTGCTCCTGTCTCTTTCTTTTCTTTTCTTTTTGGCAGTACTACACATTTGCTAGGCGCTAACACTTAAGCCATGCTTCCAGCCCCAGTCTTGGTTATTTTTGTGACAGGGTCTTCCTTTATGCCATGTCTGGCCTGAGCTGCATCCCTCCTACTTGTGCTTCCCTGTCTCTGGGGACGGCAGGCTCTTGCCACTGTAGCTGGGATAACAGGCATGCACCATGGTGCCCAGCCATGTATTTTTCTTTCTTCTTTTTTTTTCACTCTTAAAATGATCATACATTATGCCAGCTGTGGGGGCAGCACACTAGTAATCGATAAGGGGGATGAGGCAGGAGGAACACAAGTTGGAGACCAGTCTGGGTTATAGCTTAGCTGGGCACTGGAAGCTCATGCCTATAAGCCTAGCTACTCAGGAGGCTGAGACCTGGGGATCATAGTTTGAAGCCAGCCTGGGCAGAAAAGTCCCAATAAACTACTCAAAAAAGCCAGAAGTTGTGCTGTGGCTAGCCTTGAGCATAAAGAGGTTCAGGGACAGCACCACTCAGGCACTGAGTTCAAGCCCCAGGGTGGGGGTGGGGATGTGGGGTTGGGGTAGGGGGTGGTTATGGAGGGGGAGATCATATGTTATTTGTATAGGAGGGTTTCACTGTGGCATTTCCATGCAAGCATACAATGTACTCTGCTCTAACTCATTCCTCTGATCACTCTGTTACCTACTTCTCATCTTAAGACAATTTTAACATGTTACATTATTTTCAGGCACACAAATAAAAGACTTTGAACATATTTATCCTCACTTCCCCTTTGTTAGCTCTCCTGCCTCCTGCTAACATATGCCCCAAGCAAGCCTGTTGGATGGCACAAATGAGTCAGAAATTTAACAAAAACTTGTTTTCCTTATCCCCCAAAGGTTTCTGCCACTGAACTTTTGCTTATAGGTTAACTAATGATTTGTCTGATACACAATAACACAACTACTTTAGGCCATCAAACAGCTAACTTGCTTTGAAGCCCAGAATTTTGCAGGTTCTAAGCAACTTGAGCCCATAGTTTTGGTTATACCAAAATTGAACACTTTAACCACTTGCTTTCTGGAAACCTACTGACTTGGCTTTGATTCCTGGGGCAAAATCATTCTCTTTGGTTCAGTTACTTATTGTCAGTATTGTTTTGACAACTATACCATCTTTCCTTCTTCCTGTATATGGAAGCTTTCTATCCACAGAATGGGTAGTCCTCCCTTATTGGCAGATTTGCTGCACCCATTTCTTAAGCCCTTCTTTCAAGAACTTATTGAAACAAGTCACACCAAACACTTCTCCTTCTGTTCAAAGTGGGTTATTCTCAGGACTCATCTACAGGATTCTGATGGCCTGGGAGAAGGCAGGGATAATTAAGCCTACTCTGGACAGTGGCTACATGATGGGCTCTGGTGCTCCCAGACAACAACCAGCTCTGGCTCTGGGGGAAGTAGAATACTCTGACAGTGTGCTTGTGCTGCCTCTCTCTACACACATGGTTAAGGGCAGGTGGACAGTTCCCCCAAACCCAGCTACCCTGCTTCTAAATGCTCATCTTTTCACCATCTGAAGACTCCAGGAAAGAAATATTGAGGTTCACAAGACTGTCTAGGAAAACTTCGCTTCTCCAAAGACCCTAACAATGGAAACTCACCCTAGTAGAACTAAAAGCAATGCTATACTGTGCATTCAATTAACAGGATTGCCCCTGCTCTAGAGATTTTGATTATGGCTTCTTTTTTCTGTCTTTTTCTTTTTTTTCTTCTTTTTTTTTTTTGCAGGTCCTGGGGCTTTGAACTCAGGGCCAGGGGGCCATCCCTGAACTT